TTTTATCTGTGACCAACCTCTGTGTATGCGACCTTGGAACAAATTATATTACAGCGACCTCTCATTCAGGGATCAGAAGAAATCTACGTCAGCCTAGTCAGTCGAATCTAAGGCAGTGCAATAACAAATAAATGCACTCAGTAAATTCCCTATATACCGAATTTCTGAAACTAATTTTAACTTAGAAAAACAACTTACTCATTATCGTGCAACATAACCCAGAAATATAACAGTCACATCAAGATGACAGCTTTTAAGCAAGGTTCTTTTCCTACTTGTCCAAATAGTAGGTAAAAAATGGTTACAATAGCATACATCTTCACATTGATTTTGACGCCCTTATAAATTAAAATATATTTTGTAGAAAACGTGCGCAAAATTGCCCCTTCCTGTACTCGGTTGGTACTTAATTGTGCTTTCTTCAAATGTTATATTTGAAGGGTAGCTTTCGGTAATCGAAAGGTTTCTAATTATTATCTTTTAGGGCCATGAAATATTCGTGCATAATACATCGCACCCTCAAATTATTGCAGTTGTCTAAAAAGTATACAATATGACCCACATCCATCGCCAAATTTTATGAACATGTTGTAAGTCCTTCCTCATAGCGTACAGAAGTTTGTGATTTTCCCCATACATAATTTGTAAAGCACGTCGTCTGTAAGCCTTGAATGCAAGTGTAATGGCCAGTAGGTTTCAAAATTATTTGGAAATCGAGTTACTTTTTAAAACCGATAGTTATTTTTTTTTCTTGAAGTATATAGTTCGAATGTGTAATTTTCTATCAAATGAGTAGCAGAAAGACTATTTTACGCATGTTGTCTATAAAATATATTCAACTTCTTAAGAGCTGAAAATCAATTGGCAAAATGAATACTACTTAAGTAGCCACATTAAAACGCAGGTTTTTCGCGAACCGTTATTAAGAAGCCCTCTCGAAAGCCGACACCCTGACATGAATCAAACGTCTTCAGAGTAGGCTGAAATGCAATCAATGTTACAATCCCTCCTAAGTAATTTGTTCGAAGTGAAAAAAAAGTTCGGTTGACATTTTATGAGCCAGTGAATCTACTGCAAATGAACAAGGCAAAGGAGGCGAAACATGCAACCTTTAATGACGGCATAAAGGTTCGCAACCTCTTATTTAACTGTGCATGGTCATAGTGTACTCATAAGATAAAATAAACTAACCAATTAAAAATCGACCTGGAGGGACGAAACGTGATAGGCTGACAAAACATGAACTGTTGGTCTGATCTGCAGATGCAATCTCATCCAGCAATTGAGTGACCGGCATAATGCAAATTATAATAACTATAAAAGACAAGGCAAGGAAGATAGAATGTGCAGGATTTAATGAGATCAACAAATTTGCTGACCTCTTATTCAAGTGCCTCTGGCTTTTGCCTTCTCCAAATGTTTGCCGGGAAAACGCTGTTTCTATTTTAAGTATATTTCATTCAGAGAATATTTATAAAGGATACTTTTGTGGACACGCATTTTGTATTTTTACAAAATAAATGTCTACCCAGAATGAATCGCCGTGTTTTGCAGACTTCCGCTTCCCTCGAAAATTATTAATTTCCGATCCGCTTAATATTACTTTCAATTTCTATTTCTCTTCACACATTAAAAGACAAGGTGCCTGCAGAAAGTATGTTATGTTAACTTTTGTAAACTTTGGCCCTAAAGGTGCTACTATTGGGTACAGAAAACACTTTTTGTCGGATAATTTCTGTGACACAAAACGCATATATGTGCGAATATGCGAATATGTGCTTCATTTACAAAGCTGGCTCCGAGTGAAAAGAAAGACCTGCTGGGTAGATAAGACAAAGGCAACAGACCTGGACTCACAAATTAGCGAGACTGTCTGCTTTTTTTCTTGAAAATATCAGATATACTCACTCAGTGGAATCCTTATCGATGGCGATATGTATGGGATAGAAATCAGCGACGCCAATGAGTGGATTAGCACCAGCTTTCAACAAAGCCTCCACGCATGCCGGCGACGGGGTAGAGCAGGCAATGTGAAGCGCTGTCTCACCGTTTACATTCACGGCATTCACGTCTACCCTCTCGCTGTTCCTAAAGCCGGTTGGCAGACGTCGCGTTCCGCTTGATGACGGGGCATCATCCCCATCGGGCGGAAGGTCCAGAAGAA